GAAAGAAAGAAGAGGGGGAGGGAGGTAAGGAAGAGAGAGAGAAAGAAAGAGAGAAAAGAAAAGAAAAACATTAGCATAGCAGGTCTGAGACTGCTGGTCTTAGAGAGGCCTTAGAAAAGCCTGCTAGACTGGCTCTTGGCTGGTGGCTGGGAAGTTGACGGGTAAACAGTTCCTTACATTGATACAAAACTTTCTCTGATACCAAGAGGGCTCACTGTGCCCAGATGGCATGGTGTGGCTTATGCTACACACCTTCTTTTCTAGAACTGTGAGAAGTACTGATGAAACTTTGTCCACTGCATCTTTAATGGGCAGCGACATCACATACAAGTTGCTACATTTTCATGGCAGGAGGAAGAGTGGCTGCGTGGGACTCTTTGTGGGAGGGGGACAGCACAAAGGAGCCTGTCTTTCACCCTGGGATCCAGCCGAGTATCCTTACTGCATCCTTATTCATAAAGCTCAGCCAGGACTTCAGCTGTGTGCTGAGACCCGTGAGTTCTTCTCATGTGTGTGGGGGGACTTTGGGAACCCCAGCACAAGAGGACAGGTTAAAAGTGCTTACTTGGCACAGAATCTGGCACAAGGGAACCTTGCAATAAATAGAAGTTTTCAATGACCTTAGGCAATGTCTAGGCTGAGCTGGGGCAGTGGGGAAGGGCACTGAAGGGTGGCTGTGGGTGCTGGATGGAGAGGCCATGGTGGGCCCCTTGGTCACATGGAGGGTAGAAAGCTGGGATTATCTAACCAGCTACTGCTTTTGAGTCCTTCAACCCATGGCACATGGCTAACTATCAGGGTTGAGCTGAAACTTGGGTATGTGTTAAGAGAGGCTCCCAAGCTCCCTGTAGATGTAGCTGGGCCCAAACCTGGATTAGAAGGGGTGTCTTGGGACTGCCTTGAGGCAGCAGGAAAACTCATGCTCCTTGGGGCTCTCACCAGACACTGTACTCTCGTTGGTATTTAGGAAAGAAAAGGAAGATGGCCCTGATGAAGGCACGTGATGGCCAATGAGAATCACCTAGGCTCTGGTGGACAGCATCCTTCCGGAACTGCAGCCCCCGGGAGCAGCAGCCAGCTCTCACCTGTCATCCACAGGTTGATGGTGTCGCAGATGTCCGACTTGAATTCGTGGGTGTTGAACCAGGACTGTGGGAAGCAGCAGCAGAAGCTGGTGTACAGGGCTTTGCTCAAAAGTGACGGCAACCTCTAGGAGGACAAGCAGAGCTCAGGCAACCTTCTGGACATGTCAGAGCCCTGAATTCAGAAAGGACTAAAATTCTTTTCCATCGAGAAGCTGCCTTCCTGCTCTTTTTTTCTTTTTTCTCTTTTCTYCCACCCCCGCCTCCGCCCCAGTACTAGGGATTGGACCCATAGTGCTTTACCACTGAGCYATATCCCCTGTCCTTTTTATGTTTCATTTTGAGACAGAGTCTTGCTAAATTACTGAGGATCTGGCTTTGAATTTGCAATCCTCCTGCCCCAACCTGGAATCACAGGATTATAGGCGAGTACCACTGGGCCACAGTCCTATTTTTTTTCCTTCCTTTTTTGGCACGGGAGATTGAACCCAAGGGGGCACTAAACCAGTGAGCCACATTCCCCGTCCTTTTTTATATTTTATTTAGAGACAAGGCCTGGCTGAGTTGCTTAGGGCCTCACTAAATTGCTGAGGCTGGCTTTGAACTCTTTCCTACCACCTCAGCCTCCTACTGGGATTACAGGCATGTGCCACCAAGATGTGCTGGGGACAGCCCTGACTTTTGTTGTKGTTGTTGTTGTTTGTTTGTTTCTTGTTTTTGCAGCCCTGGGGATTAAATCCAGGGCCTTGCACATGCTAGGCAAGTGCTTGACCACTGAGCTACATCCCTAGCCCCACTTCCTGTTCTTAAGGGAAGTAATGTCTGTCTTCCGCTGCCTCCACATCTCCTTATCCTATAAGAGGGTTGCTCCTCACCCATCAAGTTATGTTTGGCCAACAGCCTCCTCCCTCCCTGGAGCCCCTTTATGTGAGCCGTTAGCCCCTTCTGCAGCTTGGCCAAAGTGCAGCCAACAAGATGGCAAGAGATGCATCCCCCTGTTACCATTGGCCAAGGCGGTAATGGGCCTTTATATCGTGTAACATGTGTGCCATCAGGATTTTTGCACAGTGTGTCATTTGCCTCTTAATTTTATCTGTATTAATTTTTAAAAATTATATAGTTAAACTGTTGGTCTTTTCCCTTGTTTCCTCCAAGTCATATTTAGAAAGCCCTCCCTCACCCCAGTCATGTACAGTGTACAGTCATGTTTTCTCCTAGCAATCCCTTCAGTACTTATGTTCACACACATCTAAAAAGTACATATGTATGTTCACACTTTTAATTTTAACATTCCAGGCTTACTTAAATCTCACAGAAATATATAAAATAGAAAAGGAAAGACTCTCATAACTGCAGTCCTCAGAGATAAATATTGTTAAGAGTTTGGTAAATATTTTTTCAAAGTTTCTTCTCTTCTTTGGCACGTACMCATACAGTCAAGTGCCACCCAGCAATGGGGCTGTGTTATAAGAAGTGTATTGTTGGTTCACTTTGTCACTGAATGAACACCACAGAGTGCACTTACATAAACTAAGACTGCTGTGATGTCCCTGGGAAATATAATCTCATGTCACAGCCATAACATGCAACCCACTGTTGACCAAACTGTCACTTGTGGTGCATGACTGTGTATATATTTGAACATAGAGTTGTATGAATTGCTTTTTCACTTAAAATATATGATTATAGCTCTCCTTGTGGGTATGTAGAATTCTATTATATTTTCATAGCTGCTACATTATAAGTGGGTTTCAGAGATACCATGTGGGGAGCCACTCTGAGTGACCCACACCTTCCATCCTGAAGCAAGATTGACCAGTCATTGCATTTCGTGGTGACTTGGGCGTTGTCCCAGCCCAGGAAGTAGAAGGAGTGTCTTCAGGAGCTACATTCACCTGTTCCTTTGTAATGCTACTCCTTTGCCCTGTTTGGGATAGAATSTTCCATGGAAATGCCCTTTGTATGTCCCCTTCTCTTGCTCTGCCTTTGGGTGTGGCCTTCCTAGATGTCAGTCACCTGCTGTCAGCAGACATCACAAAGCGAGACTCAACCCTTGCCTCCTTTGAATGGCTTCTGCTCAATGGAAGGGTTCAGCATCTGCCCCTCCCACTCTCTCTCTCCACCACCCTATCCCCCCACCCCCGCCTTAAGGACAGAGGACCCAAAGAAAAAGGTATCTCTGTCTCTGTGTGATTATTTTGTGCAGCCCAGTTCACCTGGAGTGACCCTGAGTATTTTAGTTGTGAAGAAGGCGACGATACCMCAACTTTCTACTTCCTGCTTTATGTAAAGGATGCTTAGGGCATCCTTYGACACTAGAGGTGAACAAACCCAACATCATGTTTTCCTAGGCAGTGGATGATACTCACTTTCAAGAGTGCCTCCACGAAATGTGATCTGGGTTGATGAAACAAGAGGAAGGCATAGTGCCGGGCTATCCTGTCGAGAAGCCTGTTCTGGACCTCCTTGTTTGGCTGCCGGGAACAGAAATGGGGAAGGAATTATTGAGTCCCTTGTTGAGACAGCCAAGCATGACTCTCAGTTTCAGGGATCCTCTTCTCTAGCTAATGAACCCCACATGCTTTATGAAATAACCGACTCATCTTTGGCATCAGAGTCACAAAGCGTGTGCCCAGAGGCAGTGTGCTGTTGAAGGAGGCACACCAACTCTGGGTCATGGGTCCTGAGTTCTATTCTCAGCACTGCCCTGGGCCAGTCACCTAACGTGGACTAGTTCCTAAAGCTTGGGGGAGCCAGAGGACATGGGGTGATGGATGATGTGCGGGGTCCACAGGTGAGACCTGAGTAGGGAGGAGACAGAGTGACAACAGAGCCTGCAGGGGTGATYCACGGGATCCACGGAGCTGGTAGCTCAGGTTAAAGAGGTTGGAACTTGTTCTAAAGAAAAGTAAGCAAACCAAAGAAACAATCAGTTCCTCATTTACCTGGTACCTTTCATGAAACATCCACCAAAAGCTATCCAGCCACAAGGTTCTGGGAGAAGGAGAAGAGAGAAACTTCTCTAATTCACTCTCTGAACAGAAAGACTTGGGGAAGAAAAACACAAAATCTATATTATTTYTATTTTTTAAATTCACCTTGAACCACAACCAGATTCATAACTGTCTTCACTCAAAACCTGCCTTTCCGCCCGTGCCGTGGTGATTTGCTATTGTTACAAAGAGCACCATCTCCTGCCAGTCATCYTTGGAGTCCATATTTTTGGAGTCATCAAAAAAGCTGCTCAGGGCTGGGGTCRTGGCTCAGTGGTAGAGCACTTGCCTAGCAAGTTCAATTCTCAGCACCACATATAAATAAATGAATAAAATAAAGGTTCATTAGCATCTAAAGAATATTAAAAAAAAAGAAAGAAAAAAAGCCACCTAATCTTGTAGCATGTGCCCACAATTTTCCTGGCCTTAAGCCAGGTGTTTTATGTATTCCCATTTAACCCTCAATAATCTTATGATACACATCCACCATCACGGACTAGGAAATGAGAGGCTAGAAAAGTCAGGAGACTGAGGACTGAMGAGCTGAGAGTAACATGGCCAGCAAGTGGCCGAGCCAGGACTGGAACACTAACTCTAGTCGGGATTCCATGCCAGCTGCTCCAGCTCTCACCCCCAGGGCCAACTGACAACAACCTTCAGCAACCCACATAGATATCATACAAACGAAAAAGACTGGACCAGAAAATTCCTCTATACTCCTTTCTGTTTTCAGAACTATTGTTTATATAGCTCTCAGGCTTCCAAAACATTTTTTCTTTTTTTWAAAAAAAATATTTGTTTTTTAGTTGTAATTGGATACCTTTATTTTATTTATTTATCTTTATGTGGTACTGAGGATGGAACCCAGGGCCTCCCATATGCTAGGCAAGTGCTCTACCACTGAGCCACAACCCCACTCCCCCGCCACCGAAACATTTTTTTATATAAATCATCTTTTGGTCCTGAATATCAACAATTCACACTAAGTTGCGAGCCAATGTTGTCTGTGTATTCCTGGTGCTTCACCGAGTTAGGCTTTTGTGTCTGTGTTAGCAGCTTTCACCACTTGGATCATCAGATTCTTCTGAGTTAATAATAAACATACAGGAACTGGGGATGTGGCTCAGTGGTAGAGTGCCTGCTTGGCATGCATGAGGTCCTGGGTTTTATCCCCAGCACTGTGAAAGGAAGGGAGGGAGGGAGGGAGGGAAGAAAGAAAGAAAGGAAGGAAGGAAGGAAGGAAGGAAGGAAGGAAGGAAGGAAGGAAGGAAGGGAGGGAGGGAGGGAGGGAGGGCATGGAATTCTGAAATTTAAAAAAATTATCTATGAGCTCAGGGCAGCAGAAAATTTAGCTTTCATTGTTATGTAACCAGTCTGAAACCTGCCCTTGATCTGAAGCTGCCACTGTCAGAATATAACACGCAACATTTATTGGATGCTTCCTTGGTGTCTGCCACCGGGCTGTGTACCTTCATTTCTCCTCTCACTTGGATGGGACTGATTCAGACATGGCCACAGCCAAGCAGTAGGAAGAGGCCAGGAGGAAGAGCGGGGAGGAGAGTGGGGAGGAGGAGAGGAGGAAAAGAGAGAGAGAGAGGGGGGAGGGTGGGTGGAGAAGTAAAGGTAGAAGAGAAGTAAAGGTAGACAAGATGCTGGGTCCCAGGAAAGGCAGGGCAACTAGTTAAGAACTGAGGGGACAATGACCAGAGCTGCTCTGGGGACACAGGAGTTAAGCAATTGTGATAGAGGAAGAGGCCCAGCTGTATAGCTGCTGGGGCTACTTCCTGGTGTCCTCCTCTGCTRGCCTCTTTCCAGTTCTCTCCCATCAGCATGAGCACGTGGGTCCCCTGGGCTTGGCATCCTCCCCTCCTGAGGTACCAGCAGGCTCTAGAGCAAGTTCTCAGGGTACCGTACTCACCAGGAGGGGCAGGAAGAAAATATTACAGCTAATGTGTGATTAAGGAAAAAAGTTCACCTCACCGATATGCAATGGAGTAGCTGTCAGAGGAACATGTACAGAATTGTAAAAAAGACATGTACCTATGAAGGCGTGTACTCCAGATATTTTGGCAATCGGAGGATCATCAAGACCCCCTGGAGACCAGGCATCTAGGTTTTGGAGTGAACTTGGGTTGTGGTTACTCACTCAGCTTAGTCCCCTGGAGCATGTGGCCCTRAGCAGAATCCTCAGTCCCTCCTAGGCTGTGAAAGGGGGACAACTGTGCCTGCCCACCCCCTGCCACCCCTCCCATAGGCCGGAGTTGGCCCTTGGCTGGGTGGGCTGCCAGCTCTCTTTCCTTACCTTGCCACTCAAGGTGTTTTTCTCTGCCCGAATCACGTTGCCCACCATGTCGCAGAAGTCCACTCCATTGGGAAGCTTGTTGGGCCCAGAGTCGTTAAATTTGGGAGGCTGGTATAGCTCGGCCAGAAGATTCTTTTCTGCTGTTTTCTGAAGCAAAAGAACAGAATGTGAAAATGGGGACCACTGTTTTGACAGTTTAAAATAATAGAATACCTTCCTCTTTTTATTATGAAGACAGTATAGACACAGAAAATGAGAGGGTGTTCAAGAGCCAGTACCCTTTACCAAACCCCTTACCTATTCATATGATTTCTATTCTCCTTTAAGGCTTTGAGCAAATGTATCCAAATATATATATGTACCTTTAATCATCACACACACACTTTTACATCCTGCTTTATCTACTTGAGTTTTTTTTTAATCTAGTTGCATTGTCCCTGAAATTATTAGTTAAAATGCTATAATTTAGGGCTGGGGCTGTAGCTCCTTGGTGGAGTGCTCGCTTCACATGTGGAAGGCACTGGATTCAATCCTCAGCACCACCTAAAAATAAAATAAAGGTATTGTGTTCATCTACAACTAAAAAAAAWTTTTTTAAATGCTATAATTTAACCAGGCACAGTGGTTCATGCCTGTGATCCCATCAATTCAGGAGATTGAATCAGGAGTGTCACAAGTTCAAGGCTAGCCTCAGTAATGTAGTGAGACCCTGTCTCAAAAAAAATTAAAAGAGATGGGGATGTGGCTCATCAGTAAAGCAGTAAAGTAAACCAGTAAAGGTTCAATTCACATACAYAAAATGACAACAACAACAAATAAAACACTACAATTTAATTTACTCACCAACTACTTCCAATAAACACTGCTGTCATTAATATCTTGGAGCATGTGGTTCTACTCCCCCTTGGGTCACTTTTTTGCATAAATTCCTTAAAATGGTAATATTAAATCAAAGGCTGTGATCATCTTTATAGTATTTAATATATACCATTCAATTGATTTTTTTAAATATTTTTTTTAGTTGTTGATGGACCTTTATTGTATTTATTTATATGTGGTGCTTAGAATTGAACCCAGTGTCTCACACATGCTAGGCAGGTGCTGTACTACCACTACCATTTTTTAATGAAATGAAAACGTGATGATTATAAAAATATAAAAACGTAGAAAAGTAGAAAGAGGGAGTTGATTCTCCTCACCCAAAGGCACCCACTGGAAACTTTCTGTAAGACTGAACTACATATTTTTCCCCCTTTTTGGTACTGGGGATTGAACCCAGGGACACTTTTCCACTGAGCCACATCCCCAGACCTTTTTTTGATTTTTTATTTTGAGACAGGGTCTCAGTCTCACTAAGTTGGTTAGGGCCTCACTAATTTTCTGTAGCTGGCCTCAAACTTGTGATCCTTCTGCCTACCCTCAGCCTGCCGAGCTGCTGGGATCACAGGCCTGTGYCACTGTGCCCAGTAATGGAACGACTTTCTAACTGAGCTGTGGTGCTGGCAGTGGGAGAGCAGCTTGGTGATCTGCTGCATCAACCCTGAGTCAGATGACAGCTCTGCCATTTACTAGCTGGGCCACCTTGGGCAGGACACTTATACCTGCTCAGCCACCACCAATGGTGAGTAACACAATTTCAATGCAGCCTCAACCATGAGTCTTCTTGCTGTTTTGGAATTTTCTGGTCTAAAATATATAAAAATAGTGGGCTGAGGCTGTGGCTCAGTGGTAGAGCACTTGCCTAGCATGTGTGAGGCACAGGGTTCAATTCTAAGCACCACCTATAAATTAAAATAATAATAATAATAATAATAATAATAATAATAATAATGGACCATTGACAACTAAAAAAAATAGCATAGTGTTTCACACTGTCCATCATTTAAAGCTTATTTTTTTTTAGTTGTTGATGGATCTTTATTTTAGTCATATTCAGAGCTGAGAATCAAAACCAGTGCCTCACACATGCACGGCAAGTTTCTACCACTGAGCCATAACCCCAGCCCAAGCATTTATTTATTTATATATTTTTTGAAATGTGATTACTTTAATACAAAACAGCAAAAAACATAGAATAGCCAAAGATTATAAGAAAAAAATTACATGTGCATACAAATAGATCAACAAAGACTTTACATTAAGCTTTAACATTCATAATAAAGGTAAATTTCACTTGCTTAGATTAAACCTAAATAGTGGTATAAAAAGAGCATCTGCCTGACTCTTCTTCTACCACAGCAACACTTGAGAGAATTCCAAAATGATCTTTTTTCTTCATGTTTGAACTATGCATCATACYAATTTTCTGTATAAATGCAATTAAATTTAATTAAGTCAAATGCAAGATACACACCTATGGTTAGACTTAGGTAACATTCTGGTTCCCACATACAGAGCATCTTCAAGGGTATTAGTGTGATCGRAGGAAGGAAATTGTGATATGAGATGAAATAGCAAAAATAAAAGCAATGGACAGATCACAGTGATCACATAACACAGCTAAGTATTTAAATACAATTTATATGTAGAAAAAAGTAATTTCAAGTTAGGGGTTCTTTTTTAATTGATCTTTTAAAAACAAATGACAGCAGAATGCATTACAATTCTTATTACACATATACAGCACAATTTTTCATATCTCTGGTTGTATATAAAGTATGTTCATACTAATTCATGTCTTCATACATGTACTTTGGATAATGATGTCCATCACATTCCACCATTCTTGCTAACCCCCGCCCTCTCCCTTCCCCTCCCACCCCTCTGCCCTATTTAGAGTTTGTCTATTCCTCCTGTGCTCCCTCTTCATACCCCACTATAAATCAGCCTCCTTATATCAGAGAAAACGTTTGGCATTTGCTTTTTAGAGATTGGCTGACTTCACTTAGCATTATCTTCTCTAGCGCCATCCATTTACCTGCAAATGCTATGATTTTATTCTCTTTTATTCCAGCCAAAGCACTTAAAGCTTTGAATGCTTATCTCTTGGGTAGTTTAAAGAACAAGCAGAGAAAAAAATTTTTTTTTTTTTTTTTTGTGGTGCTGGGGATGGAACCTCTAGTCCCCAGGGAGATTCTTAAGTGGGTGGCTGTGAGACGGAGCCAGATTGCTGCCGAGGGCCAGTAGAGGGGGCCTGACTGCAGGTCAGAGGACTAAACGGGAAACAGAGCCCTTCCATGGATGAGCTGCAGGACCCTGGACACATCACCTAACTGTAATCCTGAATCCCATTTCCAGGGGCATCAGCAATGATCTCCATAACTGGCCTCTCCTGAGAGTCGGAGCAGCCCCTCAGAAACCTGCTGTGTGGACAGTCCAGGAAGGCCCTGTGGCACCTCAGCAAGACCCAAAGGCCTTGTTTCTAAGGAGAAATACATTCTCAGTTCTAAAAATAGCACACACKGCTCTGCAATGCCCCTCCTCGGGGGTTGGGGTCATCTCTGCCCTTTTGAGGGTGTCATGAGAAATTCCAAAGTTGTCAAAGTATTTTAAGATCTTCTTTGAAAAAGAGAACTCTGTGTTTTCCATTCAATCTCCACCCAGTCACCAAATTCCCCTCTCCAGGAGTAAAACCTATTTCTTGCCTAATAGAAACCAATCCAAAACAGACACAGCAATCAGTCCCTTACCTTTTTCACAAAGGAAGACTTGGCACTCTTGAATTCAGAGCCTTGGCATATATACGGTGTTCTTTGCTGTTTCTTGACTGCAGAACRGAGGAAAAGAGATCAGAAATGAGAAGCCACAGGTGGTGTGCACTGCTGGGTGCTCAACATAACTGGGACTCGTCACTCAACCTGCGCTGCCCAATGACGCTCATCCTGCTGATCTCACTAGGTCCCTTGGGTCTGACGACCAAGATGCCCCTCCCTATCAGATTAGACCAAGAGGGGACAACTATGTGGCCTTAGGCAAGTTGCTCCTCTTTCCCTAGCCCTGTTTCCTCTTCCACAAAATGTTTTTAAAAGGACCCAGAGTGAAAGCACCTAGAGTCCTGTGTCACACAGTTAGCTGGTCCCTAAATGGTACCCTCTTCCCTCTGTCCTTGCCCAACATGAGGAAGTCAGATTTGAGTCTCCTCACCTGCAACTCTGATTTCCTACCCAATTATGTTTCCAAAACTGAAAACTCAGGGGTGAGGCTGGGGCAGGATGGTGCAGTGCTTGCTTCCAGCAAGGCCTTGGGTTCAGTCCCCAGCATGCAGAAAAGCAAACCAAAGCTTAAAATATCCAACTAAAACAATCAAATCCATCAAGGCTATGAGAAGGGATTTTTGCCTCTGTCTCCTGCGCTGACGTGACTGTGGCTTTTCTCTCTTAAAGCCTTCTTCTCCAATTCAAATTTCTCAATTGCCTTTAAAAAAAAAAACAGGAAGAAAAAAAATGGGGCATTAGGTATTAATGCAAATCCTGGGGACCAAGGCTTCTTCCTTGTTAGTACCCAAAAGGCCTGGAGAAGTCTGTGGCCAACACTTCCTGTCTTCCCCCAGGCGGCACCATCTGTGCCACTCAGTGTCACTGAATCCTCCCCAAGTGTCATCAATCTGTCTTCCACACCATAGTCCTCTCACACTGCCCCTCTGAGGACAGGTTTTGGAACAGGGTTCCAATCACAGCCTCACAGGTTATAAGCTCCAGTTGAATTTCTCTGTAAAAGGGGATAACAATACCCACCTTCAGGTCCTTACAAGGATCAGAGATAAAGTATCTTATGCAATTTAAAACACTCTCACAAAGGCTAGCAGATAGGGCTGCTCACTGAGGGGAAACTACTATTGTTATTAATCGTGATACCCTTGACCTCACAAGAGTCGTCTCTTGATCACTCTGACTCTCCACTCCTGCCCCTTAGGAAAGGAAAGAAAGAAAAATGAACGTCAGTGACCCACAAGTTGCACTGATCATCAACCAAAAGCCCAGCACTGCGTTAGGACAGCAGTCATCCCGTGCCAGGTGCTTGCCGTCTACCAGATGGAACAGAGGCTGGGGAAGCCATCTGGCAGCAGGAGCTGAGTCAGCCACTGCCTAGTGCATAAAGGGCATGGCAAACCATGACCCAAAAAGGTGGCCAGGGTGGCCAGGGATGGTTCTGATTCAGCAGCAGTTGTGAGCTGCCTGGGCAGAGCGGCAAGGGGGAGAGGCAAGGGGTCCCTTCCTTCCTCCAGGTCACATGGGCACTCAAAGTTGCTCCTGCAGTCCCACTACCCMGCCTGTAGGTTTTGCCTGCAATCAAGAACACCCAGGAGGGCTGGGGATGTGGCTCAAGCGGTAGCGCGCTCGCCTGGCATGCGTGCGGCCCGGGTTCGATCCTCAGCACCACATACCAACAGAGATGTTGTGTCCGCCGAAAACTAAAAAATAAATATTAAAAAAAAAAAAAAGAACATCCAGGAGCTATGTCCATGCTCCCTAGTCCCCCACCAGAGCCTGCTTCATTCTTCTTCCTGGTTTCAAAAATAATTATTAAAAAAATCATAGAAGTGACATATGCTTATTGTTTTAAAATATCCTAACATTACAGAAGAATCTAATGTAATAGTAAAAGAGATCATATCCTTTGGATCCCCTCCTCTTTCCAGAGCTAACCCTGTGTAACCATTTGGTGTAGATTCCTCCAGATTTATTTCCTACGCATTTATACACATAAAACACTTCTGCTGAGAGTCAGGTGAACTTCTGTGTCCTGAGCTAAGTACTGCAGCACCCTATAAAGGTAGATACGTTATTGCCATGTTTTACAGGAAATTGAGACCCATTTCCCCAATGTCAGGATTTGAGGGAACAGTAAAGCAGAAATTTAAACTTTGACAGTTCTCCTCAAAAGCATACGCTTTCTCCCACAGATGACTACATAGAAACACAGAGAGTGTGCTTTTCACCTTACGGGGAATCATTCCAAACTGTGTGTGTGTGTGTATGTGTGCACTTTGCTTTGCTTTTACCCACAATTTAATTTGAAGCTTTACTCAAGAATGGGGTAGAGAGACTAATGCTATTGGTCTCTCTCCTGTCAATGGCTTCACCAGTATGAAAAACAATTTGACTTTATAAATTTATTTATAAGGCTCTAGTCTGTAGAAATACTTGCAAATGATCACTAAGGTACGTGCACAAAAATATTCAAATGTGTATCATCAAAGTGCCACTGAAACATTTAGCATTAAGGATGAATTAAATAAATTATGCCATTTTCAACCTACAGAATATTACACAGCCACTGAAAGATAGGGCAGGTCAGTAGTACTGACTTATAAAATCTCTAAGAAGTATTTATGCTAAAAATAAATGAGAAAAGGAATAAGAGAAAACAAACACAGGTTACAAAGGAACAGTCATGGCTTTGTCAAAAATAGAAAACAATAACCCAAAATTATGTAATACCTATGAAAATAATAACCTAAAGAAGATCTGAAAGGGCCAGATGGGGTGGTGCCCGCCTGTAATTCCAGCATCTCAGGAGCTGAGGTGGAAGGATCACAAGTTCGAGGCCAGCCTGGGCGGCGTAGTGAGACTCTGCCTCAAAATCAAAAAAATTAAAAGGACTAGAAGATGTAGCTCAGGGGAAAAGTGCCCCTGGGTTCAATCTCCAGGATGGAAAATAAAAGTTCCAAAAGGATACACGCCGCTGGGATTAGCAATCCTTAGGGTGAATGAGGGAAATGGGGGCTGTCTGTGACTTGCCCTGTGACTTTAATTCTTGTATACTTGTAGTTGGTTTGAAAATTTAGAAATAGTTTGCATCACATTGCTATTTAAATTGTTAAAAGTGTGACAAAAAGATTGACCCAAGAGTTTAACTGACCCCCCAAATCAGTACTGGACAAGTTGGGTGAGGAGGAAACTAAAATGGTGGAGGAATTGTGAGGCCAGGATACGGGGCAGAGAACTTGGTGGGAAGCAAGATGCAGGGTGGGAGGGGTGAGAAAGTTAAGGTGGAGAACTGGCAGGAAATGAAGGAGTAGGGTTAAGATGGGCCAGAGCAGCAGAGGGGGGTGA